TATAACCTGACTTTTCTAACCATAGATTGGTTTTATCTGTTTTGAATTTTATATAAATGAAACACTATACTATACATTGTCCTCTCAATACTGTGCTTGTGAGATGTACTCATGGTGGTCCATGTAGTTATAGTTCATTATTTTTCATCACTGTACAGTATTCCACAAGGTGATATATGATAATTTATCCATTCTATAGCTGATAAATACTTGGGTTATTCCTAGTTTGGGATTATTACATCTAGTGCTATGAACATTCTTGAACATGCCTTTTGATAAACACATGAATACATTCTTTTGGTTACATACCTAAGAATAGAGTTGCCAGATCATAGTTCATACAGATGTTCAGCTCTAGCAGATAATGAAGTTTATGCTTTGGACAAGGAACAAGGAAATCAGGGATATGGGGGAAGTGGAATTAATACAAGCTTTCGGTCTGAATTCTGGTATAAAGTTACATAGGATGTTTGCATTGACCACTGTATTACTCAGCTTTCAATTACTGTAACAAAATATTTGAGATGATCAATTTATAAAAAGAAAAGTTTTATTTTGGCTCACAGTTTTAGAGATTGAAGCTCAATTGGGTCTATTTCTTTGGGGCTTGTGGCAAGGCAGTATAGCATGGCAGAGAGCAAAGCTGCTCACCTCATGCTGAAATGTGAAAGAGGAAAAGGAAGGGGCACGATCCCACATTCCCCTTTCAGGAGATGCCCCCAGTGATCAGAAGACTTTCCACTAGTTCCATCTCTCTTTTTTCTTTTTTGAGACAGGGTCTTGCTAAATAGCCTAAGCTGGCCTGCTACTACCTACATAGCCCAGTCTGGCCTCAAGCTTGCATTCCTCCTGTCTCAGTCTCCTGAATATTGGGATTCAGGCATGTACCACCACACCCAGATAGGCCCCATTTCTTATAGTTTGTACAAAGTTCCAATCATACCATGGGTTGGGGCCCAAGCCTTCAACACATGGGCCTTTGGGGTTAGTCCGGGTGCAAACTACAGCAGTTATTGATCTACATTGAGAACAACTACAAAAAGAATCCAAAAAGTCTTTGAAATTTTAATAAAATAAATTTGTGACAAGTCAAGAAAAGATAGAAATTGCAAAATTTTAACAGATAAATAATTGCCAAGAAACCCAAGTAGGTTGAGAAGAGTTGAGAAGACCAATAATAAGTGAGGAAACGGGACATTTTTGTTAGAGAATTACCTCCCCCAAAAAGGTACCAGGACCTGATGGTTCTCATGGTCACCTTTCTTTACAGCATCAAAGAATGGATAATTTTCATGATATTTGATTTATTTATAAAACAGAAAAATATTGATAGTTTCTCAGGTAACTATAAACTAGCAAAATCGTATTACCAAAACCTGGCAATGCACAAATATGAAAACCCCAATTTTCATATGATTAAAGACATAAAAGAGACAAATTCCTAAGTAAATTACAAAAGAATTCAATTCTATGTTAAGCAACAATAGTAACTCTGGAAAAGTTACTATTAATATAACACAGCTCATAAGTAAGTCAGTATTTGTCATATCTTTAAAATACAAATACATAGCCTTTGACTAATAGCTCTACTTTTAGGATTCTATCCTAAAAAAGGATTAATGGTCATGCACAAAGCTTTCACTACAAGGCTCTTTCTTAATGTTGTTTATATTGATAACAACTTAAATGTCTGATACAACACAGGATCAGTTAAACTAGCTACGGTATACATTTATTATATACGCAATGGAGTGCAGTCATTAAAAATAATAGAGGACTAGGGACATGGCTCAGGAATAAAGCACTTGCCTGGCACACAGGAGGCCTTGGACTCCATCCCCAGCACCACTTAAAAAAAAAAAAAGCAATAGAAAAGTCAGGTTAGGGGTATAGCTTAGTGGTAGAATGCCCACCTAGCATATGCAAAGCCCTGGGTTCAATCCTCAGCACCAAATAAAATTAAACTCTGTGTGTGTGTGTGTGTGTGTGTGTGTGTGTGTGTGTATTTACTGCTCATCCTAGCCTATATTATATATAAGAAAAAATATGGGCTGGCTGAGTGGCTCAAGTGGTAGAATGCCTGCCTAGTAACCATGAGGCCCTGAGTTCAAATCCAGTACCGTCAAAAAAAGAAAAAATACTACATATATATTAGAATATATGTATATACATATATAGTAGAAAGCTCTTTAATGACAGAGAAAAATATTATGCAAAAAATCCACGCCGGGTACTGGTGGCTCACACCTGTAATCCTAGCTACTCAGGAGGCAGAGATCAGGAGGATCATGGTTCGAAGTCAGCCTGGGCAAATAGTTTGTGAGATCCTATCTCAAAAAACCCATACAAAATAGGGCTGGTGATGTGGCTCAAAGTGTAGACCCTGAATTCAAAACACAGTACTACACAAAAAAACTCTGCAATGTAACCTCATAAAAAGTACATTTAAATGATAGTTCTTATTTTTAGCTATCTGCATTTTCCAATTTTTTTGCTATTATCATGTATAACTTTTACAATGTGGTGATGAGGGAGAAAAGCAACAAATTTTATTTTTACAAGGTTCCCATTTCTTGTTTGTGTTGGCATTCACTTTCAGAAGAGAAAGTAGCCATTCAGAGTCTTCTCCCAGGTGAGGGCCCTGCCTGGATCTCAGGCCTTGGGCCTCAACTGGAGGTGTGGCTCAAGTGGTAGAGCACATGCTTTGCAAGTGTGAAACCCTGAGTTCAAACCTCATTCCCATCAAATTGATAAAAAGAATGATCCTTTAATGTCTACAGTCATACCACCCTGAACACACAGATCTCGTCTCAGCCTCAGGCCTCTATTTCTCAGTCCTGCTGTCATCTCATTACTCCCTGCTGCAAAATGTCAATAGCTCCCACTACTAGAAGGCTTTCCTAGCCTTCCATTTCAGGACTCCAGAGCCCAATTCAATGTACCCATTTGGTCTTCTTTCTCAAGGACACTCACATCGATACACTTCCTTTGTGTCCTAGGTCAGGGCCATCACCATCCCACTCAGAATGAGCTCCTTCTGCGTGCCCTATTCTGGGCTCTGTTGCTCTTCTTTCTAGCAGTGCCTGCCTATCCTCCCCAGCTCTGGCATGCCTCCATCGCTAATCCTCTTTCTTCCATGAAGTCTTCTCTATCCCACCAAAGAAATCTCTGGTTGCAGATGGCCTTTATGGTCTAAACGACATCTGAACACTCAGAATAGGCAGCTAGGCAGTCTGACCAACAAGGCCTGGCTGTTTCATGTTCACCATGACAACCCCTACCTGCCTAATCCCAGCAACCCTCACACCAGCACAGACTCCTAAAAGTACAGACAGACCACAGAAGGCAGCAGGAACTCCATCTCCACCTTTTCGTGAGTCTTGACTAGTGAATGAATCCTGCCTGGTTACCATTCTGAGGACCTGCCTCCTCTGTGATGCCTGACACCCAAAATGTCCACTTCGTTGGGGCTGTGACTTCTCTGAAATATCAAATCATTGGTCAATACTGACTGAGCCACTAGAGATTTCCTGGAGAAGAGGAGGATTGTGTCTTTTGAAAGATCTACTGATAGGTGCTCAGAAAAACTAGGGAGCAATTTTGGTATAATAGTGATATAAAGAAATATTAAATGAGCATGCACATTGTGCTAGACAGCACTTTGACATACATTAGCTCACTGAATCACAATAACCTTGAGAAGCAGATCCCATCATTGTTCCCATTTTACAAATGCGGAAGCTGAAACCTTAAAATGTTAAGTAAACCTAAGATCACCATATGACTACATACATACATATCCAAAAGAATTGAAAACAGAAACTCAAACAGATAATTGCACAGCAATGCTGATAGCAGTGTTGCTCAAAAGAAGCCAAAGGTGGAAACAGCTCAAGTGTCTGTCAACTGATGATTGAATAAACAAAATGTGACAACAGAATATTATTTAGTGACAGTATGGACAAACCCAGAAGATGTTCTACCAAGTGGAATAAACCAAGCACAAAAAGACAATGCTTGTTAGAAATAGGCATGTTCAGAGACAGAAAACAGATTACAGGTTTCCAGGAGCTGGAGGAGGGAAAAATAGGGAGTGATTGCTTAGTGGGTACAGTGTTTGCTTGGGTGATGAGAAAGATTTAGAAGTAGCTAGTGGTGATGATTGTATAACATTGTGAATGTACTTAATACTCCTGAAATGTACACTTAAAAGTGATTAAAATGTTAAATTTTTAATTAAAGCACCACATGGTACCCCCATATATGTAGTTTTATATATTGGTTAAAATAAATTTTAGTTGTAGGCACCTGTCTTGCAAGTGGGAGGCCCTGAGTTCAAACCCTGGGACGACCAAGATATTTTTAAATAAAATTTTTAAAATAACAATTCTATGTTATATATATTTTTAACATAATAAAAGCAGTTTTTCAGAAAAGATAAAGTAACTTGCCAAAGATCATGTAGCTACAGAGTGACCAAGCTTGAATTTGAACTGAAACCTGTCTGGCTCTGGACACCTCAGTGTCAGTGCCCCTGGGAAAGAGCACTCACCCAGGAGATAGACATCTGGTTCTTGTTGTCACTGTCCTGAGTGACCTCACACAATGTGACTTTTGAAGATTTCACTTTCCTTGACTGTTAAATGATAAGATTGGATGAAATACCTTTGACAGGTTCTGCTAATTATAATCTGCTAACATGGTTATCTGTCTAGCAATTTGATTTTACAGTACAAAAAGTCTGAAGGTTTGATCACCAATCCCGATACCATTTGCCTCTGGCGCACTCTTGGGGTCATCCATGGTTGAGGAGCTCCAGGGAGCTGCTTCCACAGGGTTTTGCCCTGGAGTTGAGCCAGCCCTTGACATGGCCTCCATTCCACCTCCTCTGCCAGATCTGGGAGAAGGCTCAAGCTTGGCTCTGTTCCAGGATAAACTTTAACAAGCCAAGAGATAACGCAACCTCAAGGTAAAGATCAGGGAAACTCTTATAAAGGCTCGCTTGTTCCCTAGAGTCTCTGTGACTCTCTTACCCCACAGCTGTCCACCCTGCCTGCCAGCACAGGCTACCATGTGGGAACTAGTGGCTCTCTTATTGCTCATCCTAGCCTATTTCTTTTGGCCCAAAGGAAAATTCTCTGGCACCAAGTACCCCAAGAGCCTCCCATCCTTGCCCCTGGTAGGGAGCCTGCCGTTCCTCCCCAGACATGGCCATATGCATGTCAACTTATTCAAACTGCAGAAAAAATATGGCCCCATCTATTCCCTTCGTATGGGCACCAAGAATACAGTGGTCATCGGTCAGTACCAGCTGGCCAAGGAGGTACTTACCAAGAAGGGCAAGGAATTCTCTGGAAGGCCCCAAATGGTAAGTGTGCTTATCTTCCCTCTTCCTCACCACCCCTGGGGCTGTGAAGTTTTTAATTATTCCAAAATCAGACTAATGAGATGATGGGAGGGGAGCAACCCCTCACACTCCAACCCAGCCTCTAAACTAGGCAGAAAGAATTAAAGGAAGGCTGACCAGCAGATGGGATTGGGGGGGGGGTGCAGTAGATTGAGGGGTCCAGCAGCCCTTGCTCCACTCACCTGAACCAGATGATAATCTCTCTGAACCTAATTAATTGAGAAGATGCATATGAAGTCCTTAGCCCAGGCATACATCAGTGCTAAATAAACAGCCAGCATGAATGTTACTCTTTATACAAAATGGGGCAGAGATCACTGCCTCCATGAGAGGGTGTTGGGAAGAAATGGCCTGGCTCTTGGAGGACTGGCATTGCTGTTTCCCTGGCATTGTCTCGGTAGCTCCATTTCATGGTGGCTGATCCATGACAGCATTTCACATCTTCTCTTCATCCCACTGAGCATGCTGTTGTGTCGAGTAGCCATCCCAAAAACATAGCCAATGCCCCCAGCTTGGCATTCTGCTGCTCAGAACTCCCCTGAACACCCCAACAGCTTTGATCAGGCCAAGGTTGACTCTTTCCTTGGACCAGCCAGCCAGATGGGCTGGCCAACAACCAGGCTCCCACCCCTTCTGGCTTCTTCCCCTGCTAGGTTCCTCTCAGGAGCAAGAGAGGACAGAGGGGGCCAGTCAGGTGGGGCTTGCGGGTCAAGGGATGGAAGAGGGAGACTTTGAACGCTTGTTTTTGGAGTACTTCTGGGAAGAGGCACAGGTGAAACATCTAGACTCAGATGTGGGCTTGTGGCTGGGTGAATAGGCTTTTGGTGGAAAGATAAACAACAACAACAAAAAAAGAGATGAGCTGTGCTGCTAGCAGCTCCAGAAGGACCCTGGAAAGGCAGAGGTCTGTAAGCCTCCTGCTCTCTGCCCCTGAGACAGGTTTATCCCACCCACAGCCGCCTCCCTGCTCCTGTCAGTGAGCTGAACCCCAGGACTCCTCCATTCTAATTGAGGGTTCTTTCTTCCTCCTCACTACACTGTCTCAAGGAATTGGGAGTAGTAAGGCTTATAAGGTTGTCCTGCCAATACCTTGTAATCATGGTGGAGTGATGCAGGGACATCCTCACACAAGGGTCAGCATGGCAGGTACCTGCCTTCTACCCAGGTGGGAGGAGGGGGTTGGGAGACCCAGGAAAGGGTGGGTGGATGGTGTGTTATTTCTGCCACCTTGTCTGCTCTGCAAAGGAGACTTTCAACGTCCTGTCAGACCATGGGAAGGGCATCGCCTTTGCTGACTCTGGTGCCCAATGGCAGCTGCACAGGAAGCTGGTGCTGGGCACCTTTGCCCTGTTCAGGGAAGGTGAACAGAGGTTGGAGTCGATCAGTGAGTGCTGGGCTGACCCTGGGGCAGGAGCTGATCCCACAGGGGCTGGGGAAGGAATGGAAGGTTGGAGAGTGGGCAAAGGGTTATGAATGGCTTGGTAGAGCTTTTTCTTGGCCACTGCTACCATCTAGTGGCCATCTGCTATCTGTGTCCTGCCCTGGTTAGGAAGGGGTGAGGGTACTGATTCATTCTTCATCCTAGTGCCCATCTCTCCTCTTAGTATGTCGAGAAATCACTGCTTTGTGTGATTTGCTGGCCACCTACAATGGACAGGACATAGATTTGTCCTTGCCTGTCTTCATGATGATCATCAATGTAATCAGCTTGATCTGTTTCAACATCTCCTACAAGTATGGTGATCCTGAGTTGGAGATCATAAGGACCTTTTCTGAGGGCATCCTGGACAACCTGGGCAATGAAAACTTGGTGGACATATTCCCCTGGTTGAAGGTGAGGGTGAAGCTAGGTCAGAAGACCTGAACAGGGTTCCCAGTTATCTTCCTCCTTCTACTGCCCAGCTCCTGACCCATCTTTTTACTGCCTATTATAACCTTGGCCACTTCTCTACTTGGCTTTTTAATTGGGCATTTTAAACTCATGGTGGTGGCTCTTGTTTATTTTCCAATTGCCATGTGCCAGCATTAAGTATTCTACATGCATTGATCACTGAATTCCCCCATGGAGGAGTATTTTAATATCTCCACTGTGCAGATGAAAAGCTAACCATAACCAGGTTAAGGAACTTGCACAAGTCTGAAGACTTAGGTCTACCTTACTCCTTAAGGGCTACCTACAAAGGACTGGGCACATGGCACAGTCAGGGTTTGATGTCTGATTGAAGAATGGGAAGATAAAGAGGAGGCCATCCTCTCCTTTTCCTCCCTTGTTTGGAGTTGTCCTGTTTGTCCTGATATTCCCACTCTGTGTCCCTGTCTTGCCTCCCATGATGGCCGAAGGTCAGGGTTGAAGTGGGAACTCTCCTGAAACCGAAAGCTAGGATCTGCTTCTGGGAGGGAGTCCCCTAGCTGGAAAAGCAAAATGGAAGAGAAGGGAATGTGACATTTCTATCTGTTCTCCAGATTTTTCCCAACAAAACTCTGGAAATGATAAGGAAGTATGTTAAAATGAGAGACGGAGTGATGAGTGAAATGTTAAAAAAGCACAAGGTAGGTGGTAGAGCAGATAAGAGCATGAGTGAGATTGAAAGTGCCATGACAGCATAACAGGGGTACATTATGGATGCTGTAAGAGCCCCAGAGCCTAGCAGAGAGCCTGGGGTATAGTAGGTGCAGTTAAAACTGTCCTAATTAGTGGATGGGAGTGGGAAAGTGAGAAATTGAAGAAGATCCTGAAAGGGACCCATCTACCCCACAAATTAAAGAGGGCCCAGTGCTGTCTCCTACCCAGCCCTACTCCACTTCCAAGCACAAAGAGCCTTGTTATCTCTAAGCTAGGATGAAAGCATGGCAGGAGTATTACAGATTGGGGCTATTTCTTTATTACAAACTCCCATCTTCCCCAAACCTAGGAGAAATTTAAAAGTGGCTCTATCACCAGCCTGCTGGACATTCTGATTCAAGCCAAGATGACTGCAGACAATAACAATGCTGGCCCAGACCCGGACTCAAGTATACTTACAGATAAGCACATCCTTGCCACCACTGGGGACATCTTTGGGGCTGGTGTGGAAACTACCACCTCTGTGGTGAGGTGGATTGTGGCCTTTCTGCTGCACAATCCTCAGGTGAGCTTCTTCCACTCCTGTCTTCCCATCTACCCAGCCATCCTGACCTCTGCATCCCAGAGAGAGGGAGAAGCCATGTCCTCTGGCCAGGAAGCTTGGGTCTGCCCTGCCCCCGACCCATGCAGGGGATGGCTCTGGTTCCAGGTTAAAGCTGCCCCATCTTTTAGAAGCAGGGGCTGGGCTGCAGAGCACCCACTGGGAAGTATCTCTTCAGGCTCTTCTGCATATGGGTGTTGGGTTTTGCTAACCCCATGTTTCTCTTGGGCTTAAGCACTCTGGTCATCATGTACATTGCTCTGGCCCTCAGATAAAGAAGAAGCTCCATGAGGAGATTGACCAGAATATAGGTTTCGGCCGGACACCAACTGTTAGTGATCGGACCCACCTCCTCTTTTTGGAGGCCACCATCCGAGAGGTGCTTCGTATCCGGCCCGTGGCCCCAATGCTCATCCCCCACAAGGCTAACACTGACTCCAGGTATGCTATCCCTTCCAAGACACCTAGCTTTATGATGCACTGAGCTCTGCTCATCAGCCCACCTGTCCCCATCCATGTCCCCCATCCACCTGCCAGTCAACCTATAGTCAAACGCTGGCTGCTGTCAGTCACCTTAGCCCTGGACCAGATCAATGTATCACCCTCCCCTGCCACCCACCCATGAATGAAGCCCCAGATCCACCTAGCTGCCCTCAGAGGCTGCCTGTTGCCCTTGGAAACACAGCTCTAGGATGAAAGACTGCACACTCTGTGCTCCTACCCCATTCAGCCACTACAGCGCACACACATACACACACACACATGCACCATCTCCTGATGCACACTAATGTGCCCTGACAGACATAAGTGTCCATGTACAGTGTCGAAACCTAAGTACCTGCTCAGAGGACAAGACTGGATTCAGATTTGGCCAGGCAGAAGCTAAGGAAAAGATAAGTGGGAATGAGGAGCAAAGGGTTCTTTTCTGCTCAGGGAGTGGGAAACCTGGAGACTTGGGGCTGGATGGGAAGGGGAGGGCAATACTCCAGATGCCTCTTCTTTCCCTTCTCTGGGACAGCATTGGCGAATTTACCATTGACAAGAACACACATGTGATCGTCAATTTGTGGGCACTGCATCACAATGAGAAAGAGTGGCACCAGCCAGACCAGTTCATGCCTGGTGAGTCCCTGTCCTGTCCCATTCTGCTCCCTGGGCCACACAGCCAGCCTGAATCTGTTCTACTACCCCAGCATCCCTTCTCCTCTGCCATGCTTATTACTAGAAAATTCTTGGCTCCATCTCTATGGACCTGTTGCCACCCTCACCCTACTGTAGATTGCCCCAAATTATTCTTCACGACAGGATTCTCATTCTCTCTTTCCTCCTCCAAATTTGCTCCTCAGAAAAATCCTCTAGGCATCTGCCTTCCTCCTCTTTGATGCTGGAATTCTTACCTGTTTACGCCACCTCCTTTTCATCCTTCCTGAGTATTTCATTCCCTCATAAGGGCTACCTGAGAGCAGGCTGTATCTCTTTCTGTGGCATCTTGGGCAGGACCACATCTCCCCCTCAGGGCAGAAGCATGATTCTACATGCCCTGGTCCTTGGCTGATGCCTTCCTTTGCCCACAGAGCGCTTCTTAGATCCAATGGGAAAACAGATCATCACACCCTCATTAAGCTACTTGCCCTTTGGAGCCGGTCCCCGCTCCTGTGTCGGAGAAGTTCTGGCCCGCCAGGAGCTCTTCCTCATCATGGCCTGGTTGCTGCAGAGGTTTGACCTGGAATTGCCAGATGATGGGCAGCTGCCCTCCCTGGAGGGTGACCCCAAAGTGGTCTTTCTGATTCATCCTTTCAAAGTGAAGATCAAGGTGCGGCAGGCCTGGAAGGAAGCCCAGGCTGAGGGTAGCACTTAGAGGCCGGTTCTCACCCCATGCTGTGTGGCTGCAAGCACAGAAGTAGAAGAGCCTCTCCCACAGTCCCTATGAGTCCCCCTCCTCCCAACCCACTCTGCCTTCTTATCTAACCTGCAGCAATGGCAGCTGATGCACATAAACTGAAGGGTTTTTTTTTTAATTCAGAAAATTCCCAAGCAGCTAATTTGACTATTTGTTCATTTATAATGTCCACATTTTATCGAGTACCTACCATGTGACATTCACTGTCTTAGGACCTTCACACTTCCTGGTCTTATGAAGGTCACAATTAATGAAGGCTGAGAAATATAAGAGTTTCAGAGACTCATGCATGCTTTGAAGTCAATTAAACGGGTGACGTGATGAGAGAATGGCAGAAGTGAGGAGGGGTCACTGTAAAAAAGGGGTCTGGGAGGTGAACATGATCTATGCTGAGAAAGAAGCAGGTGAAAAGGTCTCCAGGTAGGAAAGGTCAGCTTGGCTACTGGTGTGGACCTGCTGGGGTCAAGTGGGAGATGGGGCCAGTGCCCATGGGGCCTTTGTAAAGAACAGGGAGGAGTTTAGGTTTCTACCTCAAATATGATAGGTCATTGGTGGGTTGTCAACATGTAAGTAGAATAATTTGATTTATTTTTAAAAAGTTCACTCTAGCAACTGCATGGAGAATGGTCTCTCAAGTGCTGAGATGGGAAAGAAGAGAACAATTAGAAAGGAAAGTGACATAATGAGGGCTCAGACCATGACCACAGCAGGGGAAACAGTGAGCAGTGAAGAGCTGAGTTTCAATTTTGAAAGCAGAGCAACAGATCCTGTCTACTTTCACCCAAAAAGACTTCGCTGCATCGACCTCATAGGCTTGGCCTTGCAGGTGTGTGTGTGTAACTCAGAGACTGGGTCCTCCCCAGCCATACCAATTTGGTCACCTTTACCCCCTCCTTCCCTGGGGTAAACAGTGCCAGGAAAGGGTTTCTACACCTGCCTTCCCAGGAGCACTTTGGGGGCTTCCCCTTTCCCCAAACACTCCAAGAAGTCTGAGATGCCTCCTCACTAGAAGATCGAGCCTAGATACCTTTCAAACATGAAACCAGTGTATTTAAACCTTGGCCACTGGCCAGTTTGCAAATAAAGGATGTCCCCAGACACCCCAGAAGAAAATGACCTTGCCCTTCAGCCTAGAGATAGGCCCCATCCTCAGTTCCTAGGTGCCATCCAGAGCAGGGTTAGATTATCCATGACCCAGTCCTTTGCCATCTGACTGGAAAGAAGGCTCTGGAAGGGCCAGCAGGGCAAGACCAAGATTATGCCTGCTTAAGTATTCAGAGAACAAGTAAGTGATTCTCAACAAGGAGAGGGACAAAGATTTCAATTATAGCAGAAACTACTTCCTTCAAAAGAGCTTTGTTAACCCAGAGTTATCCCCCCAACTCAGGCTTGATCTTCATAGCCAATGACCCCGGGACCTTGCTAGAAAGCCCAGAGGAGTTTTTGGGCAGCAGTGGCTGACCCCTACCCCATCACAAGCAGCCTAATAGAGGTGCTAACACCATTGTTAGCTGAAGGGATAGGTCAAACTGGAGGTTGCTCCTTCCCTCTCCCAGGCTTCTAAGCCCCAGCAGGCTGCTGAGCTAGAACCAAGTTATCCTCAGCTCAAAGCAGAGGGGGCAGGATTGGCAGGAGGAGAGCTAAGTATTTCAAATTTGCTTAGAATTTGAAAGGGAATTTGTGGACTAGTGATGAACAGATAAGCAATTAGAAGGTCTGTGTTCTCTGTAGAAGCAGTGGGTGAGTTGAACTGAGTAGAAAACATCCAGTCTTTGACTATGGAATCAGAACATTGAATACGACCAAGGAAACAAGGGACTAATTCTTCATTTTGAAGATGAGGAACCTGAGGGCTGTGTTGTTGTTGTGTCACACATCTACTTAGTGGGAGGGCTGAGACCAGAACCCAAGATTTCAGTGATGCACAATGAGGAGTCCGTCATGCTTTCCCACCTGTCCCTGGGGGTAATGTAAATGTAAAGTACCTTTCTGAAAAGCTGTGTTCTCTTAGAAAACACTCTCATGAGCTCTGACTGCTGCCCAAACTGTGCTCTTTCCCTGGATGGAAGGCCTTTCGCCATTACCTGCACCGCTAGATCCCTTGAAACTCAAAGTGAATGCCAAGACATATAACTCCCCGCCTGCCACCCCACCATGGCTGTGTATCCCCACCTCCTGTTAGCCCTCAACTTGTTCCTTGGCTATGAACCCATGAGCATCTAACACCTCGCTGGACTTGAAATGGGTGCGGTGTCCCCCAAGGACATGGTCCTTCTATCTCTAGAGTTCAAGACTGAGCTTCGTGTTTCTTATCCTGCATATCACATCTGATAAATAGGGTAGACAGAAAAGGACTCAATAAAATGCCCTAATCACCAGCCCCCAAGTCTCAGCCCCAGATCTTAGGCCACTACTGATTTCCTGAACCTCAGGAAGCTTTTTGCAGAAGGGAGCCTACACATTTGGCAAAGCCAGAAGGCCTTTGCCAAGACCCCAGTCATTTTTTTTCCTAGTGCAATGCTGAGGATCAAACCCAGGGCTTTGCATATCCTAGGCAAGTGCTCTACCATTGAGCTACACTCCCAGTCCCTTTTGACCCTCAGACTGTCCTTGACCAATAGTGTAATGGTAAAAATGTTTAACAACTAGTTCTTTGGGGACAGGGATACCCCTGATTTGTAGTGTGTGCCAATGTGATATCACCAAACAAAGATGCTCAGTGGCATTGTATGTTCTTTATCATTAGATTCCAGTGTGGGATATTTGTGAGACATATGACCATCATAAGCAACTTCCTCATTCTCTGAACATAATATATTTACACAAACCCAGGTGGAATCACCTGCTGTACAACCAGGCTACAAACCTGTGCAGCATGTCCCTATGATAGGCAACTGTAACACAATAGTTAATTTGTGTGACTAAACACACTTGTTTTCATCAGCATTTGAGAAACGCATGGTACTATACATTATGATGGCTACACTGTCACTAGGAAATAGGAATTCTTCAGCTCTATTATAGTGTTATGGGACCACTGTCATATATGTGACCTGCCACTGACTGAAATGTTCGTTATTATGGACACGAGTATAATATTATATAGTTTTCCACCATGCTGATATGTAAATACCTTCAATGGTATAGATAACAGTAACATAAAGCAAAATTAGGAAATTATCCGTTTTGTGTTTATAACATTTTTTTCTAATATATTCAATTGAGGCATATCAATTTCTATTGGCTGTTTAAATAAGAAGCTCATAGGGGGGAGGTGGAAAGGGTGGGCGTGGGGGACAAGATGGAGAAATGACTCAAACAATGTATGCACATGTGAATAAATGAATAAAAAAAAAAAAGAAGCTCATAAAATTCCTGAACATTCAGTAATCAGAATTTCAACGAGCCAACCCTTCCAGGAGAAATGGACCATTCCCTGTCCTTCAAAAAAGTAGCTCCCCAGTGTCCCCTGTATTGAGGAGGTTCTCAATAAAGGTGGTGTAAAGTGTGGATGGGTGAAAGTGTGTGAATGTTCCAGTAGGCCCCTGATGGCTACAAGACCTTCAGGAGCTCTCTGCAGTCACACAGACATGCATCCACATTTAAAGGACAGAGACCCAGCAAGAGGCAGCAGAATGGGGGGAAACTGGACAAGGAAGACCTGAAAAACCTAAATGCTAGTCCCTGACTCCCCAGCCTCAGCCCTGGACCTTAGGCCAACTGCTAATTTTCTGAACCTATTCCTTGTTTGTAAAGTGGGGTCACTTACCAACAAAGCTGCTCATTGTCTGAGGCTCTGGTGAGGATAAAACACAAAGGACTGAGTGAGCAGGAGAGTCCCTTGTATGTGGTAAGGTCAGGCTGTGGAGAAGATTCTGCTAGTGTTGTCATTTACAGACTGAGTGATCTTGGGCAACTTACTTGCCTTTCTTAAACCTCGATTTTCCCATCTGTAATATGGAGTTGCCAAAGTGTGTGCAGAAGTAGTACGAATCTCAGAGGGTTGTTCTGAAGATCGAATAAGAACCTGCGTAACACTTGGTGCCTCAATAAGCATTGGCTTTATCATCAGTTTATCACCCAAATCCACAAAACGAGTCCTTCTCTGAGAGTTTTACACACACCTCCCCAAAAGCCACCAGCCTGGTCAGGAGTGGGAGCAGGTCCATGCAGACAGGTCCATGTGCAGGGCAGGACCTTCTGGAACCCACTTGCAGGTCCTGCTCTACTGCCCGCCCTATTGACAGCTGGGAAGTGGGTGGAGAGCCCAAGGACCAACTCTCATCATGGCTCCCACACAGAGGGTGTTTTCCAGAGGGATTGGGTCTTCGTGAGAAAACATGAGAGGAATATTAAACTAGGGTGAGTACAGAGAAATTTCAGATCAAACAAAAATCTTCCCCACATAAACACTGGAAATTTTATTTTTATCTCCTCTGAGGAAGAGCAAAATACTCTTCAAGGAAAAGATCCGAAGAGCCAGCTTTAACTTCGAAGGATTCTGCAGTGTTTCCAAGGGTTACATACGCCCTCCCTGTGAACTTAACTTTGATCTGAAGACTTGTGATAGGCATTATCTGGGGCGAGGCCATTCCAGATCTAAAGTGAAATTTGGCCAAGTCAGGGGAGGCTTATGACATAGGCAATGGGGAAAGGTGAAAGAGGGGACAGACTGGCTCCTGAGGAAATGACACTGGCTTTGTCTTTCACTATGCTATTCCCTGCTCAATGTGTCTTTCTCTAGTCCCCCTCATCTTTGAGAAGTCACAAGTTCTTCACATGGCATCAATATTACAGCTCCTCAGTCTGATTGACTAGTTAATTGTATGGTCTTTGGGACAACAGGTTTGGCTTCAAATTACCTGGCTCTGCGATCTTGGCTGTGTGATCTTGGACAAGTGAGTTCTTTCCTCTGAATGCTTCTTTATCATTGCCATTGATAAAAAGGAATGATTACCATCTATACCTAAGAGTGCTGTCTTGAGAAAATGTAGCCACCAAGATGTTTAAACAGGACCCAGTGTTGTGTGAACAGTAGACAAATTAAAATATTTTTATTACCTGCTTACCTCTCCAGCTTCATCTCTTGCCACTTCCCAGAATTCAGTCACCTAGAATTTAAGCTGCCTGTTACTTTCCATAGGACATGCAGTCTCCTGTGTAGGACTCCCCTGATTTTCAGCACCTGGCACAAAGTAAGAGGCACTCAATAATCTGAAAAACAAACACTTGCCTAGCATTCCTTTTGCCTTTCTTAACCTGGCAAGCATAGTTACTTCCTCCAGAAAGCCTGCTTGAACCCATAGTTGGGCTAAATTCTCATCCTCGGCATCCTAGACACACAAGCTTTGTGGCACTGTCACATGGTATTAACATTGCTGATTGCCTTGCTTCCTCTCCAGACTACTATTAGCTTTTCTACAGAGGAGCCTGGTTTGAGGCATCTCTGCATTCCCAATGCCTAGCACATAGTAGATGCTCAATAAAGGCTCAGCACTTGCTCTCAGGCTGGAAGCTGAAACCCAAACACATTCTCCTCTGCCAGTCCTTCAGCAAAAAGCTACTCAACAATCAACCAAGTCCACTACCCCCTCCTCCAGAGTCAAACCCTGGTTTTTGTACACATACACACACATACCAGCCACCCCACTGAAAACAGGAAAACTGGAGAATGGAGAGTTTCTTGAAATTATTATCAAAACTACTGTCTTATGCTTCCAGGCATTGATTGCTACAGTCTCCACCTGAACTTGGTCATGGGCCAACAGAGATAATCATCATACCTCAATAGAAAAATGTACTCAGTGACCCAGGAGCCTAGCCATCAAGGGTACAGGGACAGCCTCTGCAACCTGCCCATAAAAGCTGCACCATTTTGCTTTTGTACCACTTAGACATTAGCTTTAAAAAGGCAGGGATGGTGCGCACTTCAGTTCTTTCAGATGGTTTTAGAGTACAAGTGTTGCTAGTTGCTAACATGGCTCCACTAGGGTTGCCTGGAGGAGCCCAATAGTTGAGAAGGACCTTGACAGCAACTATTCCAATAGGGTCACTGAGGATCCAGGACAGTGTCCTCTGGCCCAGGGTCAAAGGCAGGGGTAGGCATCATGTCTGGTAAACCCTGAACTTTCAAAAAACAATGGGACTGATTACTGGGCAAGTCCCAAGTTTAAGGACAATACTCGCTGCCAGCACTCAATGAGACTAGGCCCATTAGTGAGCACTCTGCTTGGGGGTAGGAATCCTTCTGGGAGGGCTACTAGGCTGTGTAAATTTCCCCACCCACAGGTAGTCCAAAGAAAAATAGTGATGGACAGGGCTATCCTTCCCTGGCAGAGGCAGCTGGCTACTTCTCATGGTCTTTATTCAGGAATTTATACCTGCCTCAAAGTTCTAAGAGGGTCTTCATAAGAGGATAAAATGAACAAAGGAAGTCTGTTTTGGGAAAGAATCTCTGGTTAACAATGACAGAGGCAGGCAAACTAGGGGCTCCCCTACTACCTCAAAAATCAGTTCTGAGACTCCCTGCTTGGCATTTTAGACCCCCCCAGCTAGCTCCCACTACTGATGGAGAATATCTGAATCTGTACCACTCATTCCACCTCTAACTATCTCTGTGGTAGTTTGCTATTCCACACAGGTATGTTTTGTCTTTCAAACTATAATTTAAGATCTGGAGAACAAGGGCCTTGTCTTACATATGCATTCCACATTTCCTTAGCATCCAGCACTGTGCTGTGCACAAAGTGAGCAACTCGACACACATTTTATTAAATTCCATGGTCAAGCATCCACCTGCATTTGGGTCCTATAGATAAGAGCGTCCTGTTTCAGCTGTGGGGTATCTGACAAAACATTCCTGCTTTTTGGTTGGTTTTGGAGGGAAATTCCTCAGGGCAGAGTGCAGACTCAGCAGCAGCGCCCAGCCTGCCCTTGGTCTGTGGCTTGCTTTTGGCATAGCATCCTGTCCTCAACTGCTATGTTACACGGCTCAGTCTCTTCGTGGAGAAAGGAAAAGTGCTTATGGTTTGGGATCTCATCTGAGAAAGAAGAAAAAGGAACAAAGTGTGGCAAGAAAAAAGTGCAGTAGAATTTTTGGGATTTTTATTTGGGCTTCTCACAGTGGTTAGAGCCACTCTGTCTTCAGAACAATCACGGCACAGGAAATTCGTCACCACGACTGCCCAGAAAAGTCTGACCAGCTGAATCTTATTGCTTAAAATACACGTATTCACAATAACTGACAAATGGCGATGTGCTTCCCACAGGAATGTGCTAGCATCTGCAAATCTTCCAATCATAGCACCAACCCCTCACCAACCCCTTCCTTCTCATCCACCTGGTACACTGGACCCCATCAAGTCTCCCTCATTCTTCCTTCAATTCCCCATTTCCAGCTCTCTCTGAGCAGCAGCGACCAGACTGACTTGGCTATCAAGCCCAGCTCCACTGTTGCATTTTCTTCTCTTCAGACCTTCAGGGTAGGATGCTGCAGTGAAGCCAACAGTTCAACACTCAGGCCAGCCCCACCTCTAACTGGGGAAAGAAACTTGAAAGGGTCAAAACTCATCCATTTGATCAGTTAACTGAAGAAGGATTTATTTTGGTAAAACTTGTTCTCTTTTGAGACACTTCAGTGCCTTGTTTGGGATTAAAAAAAGAAGGTGGCAAGAAAAGTGAGGGCTGCTGCTGCACTCAGGCCCCTCTGGCCACAAACCAGCCTACTGGAGCCCACCAGACCTCAGCAGAGGAAAGTGAGCACTATGGCACAGAGTCTGCCAACGCCTCCTGGCAATCCCAGGCAGGGCAATGTCTGGACCACAGCCAGTCCAAGTTTGTCATTGAAGCTTCAGTCAAGATTCTGCCTGAAATTCCACCTTCACCTCTGTCCCCAGTGGTTGTGGACGCACCCCTGGGGGCTGATATAGAGGGCAAGGAGCAGCAGGGGGAGGCAGATGGTTCGGAGCATGTTTCCATGTACAAGGAAGAACACAGGTCTCTGAGTGTCCACAGAGCAATGTGCAAATCGCAGTGATGAGTAGAGTGAAACCTCTCCCTGGAACACAGTGTCTCTGGCAAACGATAGGCGCTGCTGTCGACAATGCTGCTGAACATACCCAAGTACACAGTCAGACACTTGTTTGGTAAACAGTAAGTGTGTAAAATAAATTACCTTGAGAGGGCCATTTGTGCTCCGGACATGTGGCTAGCGTGAGCAGAATGGCTGCCATTCAAAGTATTTCACAGGAACACAGGGCTTGGGACACACACATACATACACATAACACACACACACACACACACACACACACGCACATGTCATCCAAAGACATCATGTAGACTCCACTTTGTTCAACATAGATTTTTGGTTTTGTGGCATCCAAATGTAGACAGTCATTCACCTCACAGCCTTGGATTTGTCTGTTTTTGTGTGTGTGTATGTATGTGTGTATGTATATATACATACACATACATACATACATATATATTCCCCTCTCTCTCTCTTTTCCTTTCTTACTATAATATCAATACCTAGTCTGAATATCATTGTTCAAGAGCTGGGAAAGAACCAAACTCTTCATATGAACAGGCAGGGCAGGGAATGTTAAGTTTCAGCGGCTTGTGTTGTCCTTTCAAAGTTTTCCTATCAAAGCTCTACTGGTTCTTGGAGGCCAAACAGTGACAAGGATCCTGTGGGTCTGTTGGAGGTGACCCTTACCTCCTGCCTGGGCCCCCAAGACTCTACACAGGCTATAGGAAAGCGAGTCATACCACTCCAGTAGCAGCAGGGATAGGACATGAGAACCACAGATAAACAAGGTATTTCTTCCAAGTGGTCAGTTTAAAACAAACAAACAACAAAAGACTTACTCAAAATTGAAGAGAAAATACTGTGAGAGAGCCAGGCTGTGGGACTGCCTTTCCAAAGACCCCCAGTTTCCTTAGTCTATCTGTTTCCAGAGAACAAAAAGACACAAAGACCCAAAGGCCATGCTGAGGATGGACGAGGACACTGGTCACCTGTGGGCACAGGTCAAAGGGCAGATATGCAGGAAGCTATACCTCTATCCTCCACCAGGTCTAGGGCATCCTGCTCACAGAAGGCCCAGATCCACCAACACCCAGGCCTGCACATTCTCTTCTGGCCAACTTGGGAAAGAGCCACAAAATTCCCTTGTCTAGAAGAGAATTCCTGCCTGCTCACTGGTAGCATTCTTCTTTCCTCCAGCTGGCTAATGTTATTTGTTTTTAAGAGAAAAACAAAAGTAGGCAGCATAATCTTCTACACCTGAACCAGCCTATTAGTCAGCCAGAGCTGCTGGGACGGGGCCACTGGAGGATGCACAGAGGTGCACTGCTCTAGTCACCTGGGATTTGAGAAAGCATCAAGGTTAATAAGGGTTATTAACCTGTCTCACACAATTAGCCCAAAGCCAGCTCTACAAACACTGGCAGCCACAGTGACAATGCCCAGGACCCTGAAGATTTCCTTCTTCACCCAGAACAAGGACAAGCTACTTCCTGGACTTAGACACAGCAAAATTCTCTTAAACTAAAAGTAGAGTATAAATCCACTCCATCACCAGGAATCATCCCAGGGTACAATCCCAGTTCCCCTCCTTGAGGGGCTTTCAAAACACACATCTCTCTGACCCAAGCAGGAAGGTGAGATATGACTTGAAATGGGGGAAGAAAGGGATGAGAATGGGGAATGAGGAATGAGTCACAGAACCAATTTCTAAGTCCTCCACAACACTGCACTTTTGTGGGGAAAAGGCATCCACACCCCAAACTGTACCTGGAGATGTAGAAAATATGGGAGAGGAGAAGAAAAAAAACAAACATAAAGAGAACAAAGTGGCTGCACCACTTCTGAAAGTCACTTAATGCTTCTCTATGAGTCTTCCCTCCCCTGGTTGTTGCCAAGTTCCTGGGCACAGGCAGGCCTGCCCTAGCTCGGGGAGCTGCTGCTCTGGGAGTTTGGTGAGTCCTGTTCATTGATGGTGTTCAGCAGCAGGCAGGCAGGCAGCCGTGGCAGATGGGGGTGCCCAAGCTCTCGAGCCTGCTCCTCAGAGGGCTGGCAGAGTCCTTCCTCCTCATCAACAGGAGGCCGCACGTGGCAGCTGTCACAGAAGTCCAGGGACCCATCCAGAGCATCATCGATGAGTGTGTTGAACTCTTTAAGGTCATCATCATGGTGGCCCCGATTGCACACACACACTTCAATGCCTGAGTCACCTGTGAAGCGACGATGTCTGCCAGGTGTTTTGTCTTTGCTGTCAGGGAATACGCTATCATGCTCAGAGCTGGAATCTTTCAGCAGCTCCTCCTTACATTCTGAATCTTTGTCCAGGAAAGCCCCTGGGTTCAGCTCCCCCAGGCCGGCCACTGAGCCACTGGGCTCCATTCCAGGGGCTTTGGTGGCTGCTCGGTCAGCTGGCACATCAGAGGGCTGAGGATCAGTGATGCTCGGGGGTCTTGTGATGCTTCTGCTGGACCCAGATAAGGGGCTGCTCTGTGCACCCTGGGAGGTCTGGGTGGGATCGGCTCCTGGAGGGCTGACACCTGCAGGGCCACACTGAGGAGGCAGTTGCTGTTGCTGTTGCTGTAGCTGGAAGGCACTGTATGGTGGGGGAGGAGTTGGAGGTCGGTTCACCACTTCCTCATAAGGAGGTAGTAAATAGTTTGGCAAAAACCCTAAAACAGGGAGGTAGGGAGAAGAAATTACTGTATTAGCCATCAACTTAGAGCACTGAACATATGCACTGACCCTTCCTCCCCACCTAAGCAAAGACGCCAAGTGGTCCCTATGGCTCTTGGTTGTGTGCAGAGATGAGGACTACAAGCAACTGTGCAGAAAAAGAGGGATAGTTTGATCGAACCTAGCTTGTTGGCATCTGAGAGGCCTTAATATGCTTTCATAAGCAAGGACTTCTTGCCTACCTCACAGGGTGAGGCAAATGTGGTAGATGGCCAAGAAATAACTTCTTTCTGCCTGGAATGAACCTGTTTCCACAGAGATGGAATTCTCATGTTTCCTGCTCAGACTATAACTTCCATCTGTCCCACAGGCCTCAGGGTCAGGGGCCCTCATTTAAGACTACCTAACCACTTACTTCTTTCCCAGATCTTTCCAGATATATACCACATATAGGAACTTTTTCGGGGAGGTTAAAATCTGTGTTGTCTCACTTTTCTGTGATTGGAAGTAGTCTGGAAAGACAAACTAGGCTTCATTCTGACTCACATCATTAGCAAGTGGGTTATAAGCAAAGGGTGAGGGGCCTGGGTCACCCAAGGCTCATTAAAAACATGCCAAGTGAGTTGTCTTTTGAATGTGTAAATGCTTTGAGGCATTCATTATAATGAGATGATCTCATTATAACAGTAAGTACTAGCATTTATTGAGCACTTACTATATGCCAGTACTATGATGAGCAACTCTTCTAGATGTGGAATTCAAACATTTGTGACCCTTTTGTTTTATAGAACACTACAGAATGGCATGGGACAGGCAGCCCAGCAGGGCCTCCAGGACCATTTGAGAGGTCACGTGTAAGGAACCCCAGCAGAGTCCAGGTGACTTCCTTGATTCACCAAGTTTCTTGGTTCTCAGGAAGCTCCAATGCCACCCCTACACCTGCCCCTTTCATGGCAGCCTCCACCAGGCATATCGCATGGCAGCAAATGAAACTGGAGGAACAGAAACTTGGCCAGAACCCAGCTACTGTTAGCACCAGCTCCACTGTGCTGAAGGAGCACCCCTGTCCCTGTACTTGTGAGCCTTGCTCTGGGTGGGGGGAATAGGGACAAATGTTCTCAATGCCTGCAGGGGCCCTGACCACTGATGTACAGTCTGGGACTGTCTCTGTGTACCAGAGTTCCTAAGGGTGGGGTATGGTGGCTCTTGGTGTACGTACTGAAATAAAATGGCAGCGCTGAGTAATTGTGGGCTTCCCGGTAGGCAATCAAGTTGATTTCATGTTGTCGCTGTTGCGCCTGAAGGCGGTGCTTGGCTCTGCGGTGGTGGCAGACACAGCAACAGCTCAAGATGATGATGATGGTCCACACCAGCCAGAACCCTGGGGAGTGGGAAGGCAAGGCAGAGAGGCATGCACACACAGTGAGCACCAGCCAGACCGGATGGGGCAACTCTCAAATAAGAAGGTCCCCAACCCTGCCCACATTGTTGAGGCTGACACTGTTGGATCTCACTGTTACTTTATGTTTAAGCCATGGATTCATAAATGTCTGGACAGCTAAAGATGCATAGATAGAAAGGGCAGGAATGTGAGAATGACAACAGCACAGAAGGTCACTTACTCCAGGGTGCCTCAGGGGTCTTGGGGGGAAGGAAGGGGGCCAGGGCCTTTCTCCAGCACCACTGACTGGTCCTGTGTTTTAAGTTTTGTGGGCATTAAATATGCTCACCTTTCAGAACAGTGTCCTCTTCTTCTCTTAAGAGATCTTAAAGGAAATGCTTTTCAGCTTTCCTGGGCTCCATCCCAACTCTCCTCCCCACACCAACTCACAAGATTAGCAATCATAAGGAGCTTCAGAGGTGCCAGATAAAGGAATTGTTGGGCTTCTCCTGATATCGCAAAAAAATAAAAAAATAAAAAAACAGGGGCTTTTTTTTTTTTTTTTGTATGCCCCTGCAATATGACAATTGCTAAAGTTAGAGGTAGAAAAATTCTAATTGCCCAGGTCTAGCTCCCTCCTAGGGAGTGTAAATGACTTCCTGCTCGCTATAATCCAGTACAATCCCATCTCCTACTGTCATAATCAATCTACTCCCACCTCCCTCTAGTCTTGCATTTAAAAATTATGTGACTTATTTTTATTGGCTTTTATTTTTAATTAATAAATTAATTTGCACAGAGGTTTTTTTTTAATTCCCCTGGGACTGTTTTCAAACAAATATGATTTATAGAATATTATTTTTGACATATAAAGAGTTCCTGATGTTAAATGAAATAGGCAGGTTATAAAATGGCATGAAGTATGATCCCAATTTTTTTCTACATGGCTTGATTCTCACTGATTTAATCTCTCTCTTTTTTTTTTTTTTTTGGCACTGGGGCTTGAACTCAGGGCTTGTAAGGTAAGCATTCTATCATTTGAGCCATTCCACCAGCCCTCACTGATTTAATCTTAACAAGACCAATGAAGTTACAGATAAAGAATGATAAAAAAATTCAATTAAAATATGTGGTGTATAAATATTTTCATATGCCAAGCTTCCATTTGTCTTTTTAAATTACTATAGATTTTACTTATTTAGTTTTTTTTGAGATGGGGTCTTGCTATGTAGCCTAGTCTGGCCTTGAACTCATGATCCTCCTGCCTCCAGAGTCTGAGTGCTGGGATTATAGTCATGTACCTCTAGCCCAGCATAATGCTTTTTGTTCTTTTTAGTGGGATTGGGGTTTGAACTCAGGGCTTCCCAGTACTTGAGCCACACTTCCAGCCTTTTTTGCTATAGTTATTTTGGAGATAGGGTCTCAGGTTTTTTACCCAGACCAGCCTGGACTGTGATCCTCCTATTTTATGCTTCCCACCATTACTGGGGTGACAGAAGCTCACACCACACCCAGCATTTTTTGTCGAATAGCTTGGGATGGCAGACACACACCACCGTACCCAGACATTGGTTAGGAAGGGGTCTATCGAACTTTTTGCCCTGGCTGGCCTTGAACTGTAATCTTCCTGATCTCAGCCTCCCAAGTAGCTAGAATTACAGGTGTGACTCACAGGTCCTGGCTTATTTTTTATTGACACATAATATGACCTGATTTTTGCTTTAAAACAATTGTACGTATTTTATGTATTTATATATGGCTAGGCATGGTGGCTCCTTGCCGGAGGTGGAGGCAAGAAGATCAGAGGTTCAAGGTCTGTCTGGACTATATAGTGAGATCTTCTCTCAAAAAATAAAAAAATTATATAGTGGTTGAGGATGTAAGCTCAGTTGTAGAGCACTTGCTTACCTAGCATGGGTGAGACCCAGAATCCATCCCCAGCATAATAAACAAACAAACATATGGACAGAAGGAGAGGGATGGTGAGGGAGCTAACCAGGAGGTTATTCTGGATGCAGGACAGCATCAGTTCAGGCACCAGTGCCTTCCTTTTTTGCTTATCTGTATTTCCAAGACGAACAAGTACTTCTTTGAAGTAGAATGAATATTTTTTCTCAAAAATAATTTTAAAATGCATTGTTATTGAATGAGAGTAGATACTGTTATTCATTTGTTTTCTATTCCTGAATAACTTCAATTGTTTTTCCACTATACATGCTATATGCATTTTTATTCACTTGCTTTGTAATTATAAATTTCTGTTTACAATTTTTTTTTTTTGAGACAGGTTTTCATTATGTAGTCCAGGCTGGCCTGAACCTCTCAATCCTTCTACCTCAGCATCCCAAGTGCTGTGATTACAGACACACATCGTCATGCAATCAGCATACCCAAGTGTGTTTATAATTTTTAAAGTATTTCCACATGTATCTCTTGTCAAAATGAGTTAAATCAAGTTAACATTGCTTTTAAAAAAGAAAAAAAAATCTTTCTCTCCCCCAAAACATTTGTAAATGAATAAATTCAATTTTTCTCCATTTGTATATACACAATATTCCAAAAGTTCCCGGTGACATTTAGGGTGTGATGCCTGACAAGACTATTCTTCACTGAATCCCCACAAAGCTGCCTCTGAGGCAGAGGCAATAGCCTGATGACTTTTTTCCTTTACCCATCAGCAGACAGGGGATGTATGCTGAAGTTACAATGCTCCCTTTTGGCCCTTCCCAGATTATACTACTGGAACTTACTTAACTTCCATTTCTTTCCTATCAGGTAGAAGGATAATTAGTATCTAACTGTATTTTAACCCCCAAGTCATTTTCTCAGTATTTCCTTATCTAAAGGTAAAACAACTTGTTTTATACTGTAGTAAGTGCTATCTAAGACATGATTTCTCAGCTTTCATAACTTTGTTTTAAACCCATGCATTTGGGGGAGAGGGACCGGGGTTTGAACTCAGGGCTTTGCATTTGCAAAGCAGATGCTCTACTGCTTTAGCAACACCTCCAGTCTGTTTTGCTGTGGTTATTTTGGAGATGGGGTTTTGAGAACTATTTACCTAGGCTGGCCTGGAACCACAATCCTCCCAATCTCAGCCTCCCAAGAAGCTAAGATTACAGGTATGAGCCACTGGCACATGGTTAAACCCATGCTTTTATAAGAAAAATCTCATGAATTGGTTTTCAGGTTCATCAAATATTCCTGGTCCTCTTGGCCATGTGGGTTGGCTTAAACCTCCTGACTCTCTGTGGTTGGTGAGGCTGTGGGACTAATTCTAACTACGGAATTGCGACTGGAAGTGACATATGTCATTTAGAGGACAGAACATTTCTTGCAGATGTGAGACTTTCATCTTCCCTTTGCCAAGGTAACTGGCAGATGGTTATTTCATGGTCAGCCTGGGTCCCAGAGGATGCTGAAGTGGGAACAAAGCTCACACTCAACCTTTAGTGGACATGCCATGCAAGAAACAAACGGTTACTTTAGGCCACTAGGATTTTGTATGTGTTTGTTTCTGCAGCAAAACCTAGCCTATCCCCTTATCCTGTCACAGTGTGTTCACAAGGTTTTCTGGAGGGGATGATTAGGAATCTTTTTTTCTTTTCTTCAGTATTGGGGTTTGAACTGGCTTAGAACTTGATAGGCAAGAGATCTACCGCTTGAACCATGTCTCCAGCCCCTCATCAGGACTCTTAAAGGAATTTCTAATCTAGACAAAGGATGAGGTCCACTGAATGGAAGTATAATAGAAAAAGACGACTTTTTTTTTAAGGAAAAATTAGAACAGATAGCAACTAGGAGAAGAAATGAGACAAATGCAACATATATCTTCAGCAAAGTTATCTTTGTCACATCTAACATAGCACAAAAAAATTTACATGCCTAGGGAAATCCCACAACTCTACTACTTTTTCTTCTTCTTTTTTTTTGGTGGCGCTAGGGATAGAATCCAGGGCCTACACCCGCTTTACCACTGAGCTGCCCCCACAGCCTTAGCCTACTTCTTTCTCTTTTTTTTTTTTTTCTTGGTAGGATTGAGATTTGAACTCAGGGCTTCATGCTTGCAAAGCAGGTGCTCTACCATTTGAGTCATACCTTCAATCCATTTTGCTCTGATTGTTTTGGAGATGGGGGTCTTGCCTCCTTACTTGCCTGGGCTAGCCTCAAACCATGATCCTCCGCAGTTCAGCCTCCCACATAGCTAGTGAGCCACTGGGACCCAGCTCAGCCTATTTCTTTTCATTTCATATTATCGGAAGAAAAACTACCCCTACTATGTGCCAGCAGTGTGATGTCTCAAACTGAGTTACAATTTCTTCATTTCTAGCATTAAGACCATAAAGGAATTATTTGTGTGGCTCACAACTGGAGGAAAACTAACTTGAGAGCAGAATAGGTCTAGCGGCATGATGGGGTCAGTATAGGTTCAGAAAAGACCCCTAACAAGCTAGTCCCACTTGATGGAAAGTAGGTCAGAAGACATTCTGATTTGGCCTCACAAACAGGATCCTCTTAGAAGTCAAGCTAGTTAAAGTCATATCCCATCAATTTTAAAAAGGGGAATATGCAGACTAGTCCCTATGGTGTTGGGCTAAACTGTATTTAATCTTTTACCTAGATTTCAGAAATAAGGCAGAAAGGGTTTTATTTTTTTGTTTGCTTGTTTGTTTTGGGCAGTACTGGAGGTTAAACTCAGGGCCTCATACTTGCTGGACAGGTATTACTAGAGCCATGCCACCAGCCCTTTTTCCTGTTGGTTATTTTTGAAAAGGGGTCTTGCTTTATGCCCAGGCCAACCTGGACCATTTACTTGACTCTTATTTGAGCTTCCCTGCATAGCTGAGATGACAGGCACATACCAACCATGCCTAGCCATTAGTTGAAATGGGATCTCACAAAAACTTTTTGCCTAGTCTGCCCTCAAACTGCAATCCTCCCGATCTCTGCTTCCCAAGTAGCTAGGATTACAGGCTTGAGTTACCACACCCAGCCAAAAG